GGGGGGGGGGGGGGGGGGGGGGGGGGGGGGGGGGGGGGGGGGGGGGGGGGGGGGGGGGGGGCAAGCATGCTACGGAGTCGATTGTTGATTGTTATTGATGGAGAGGCGGATCGCAGCAGCAGCAGCAGCAGCAGCAGCAGCAGCTACCGCATAGCAATATCCCAAGCATCAAGCGTCGGATTCACTGCAACTATGCCGTCTGGAGACAGACACGACAGCCTTCCTAAGCCTGCTGTCGCCCCGAGGTCCGAACCCGCCTCTGAGTTACGTACAGGCGCTGGAAGAGCGTGCAGCTGCTGCTGCTGCTGTTGCGCACGAAGTTTACGCGCATATTTCATCAGGCCTCCGAAGAGTCGGTTTAGGTAGATGCAGCCGCGCCAAACCAGACCGGCACGTGCATTGTTGTGTGGTCGAGCAGGGAGAAGAGACAGGATACATGCCCGACGCGGGAGCGTGCCACAGAGAATAGCTAACAGGGTGGGCGCCTGCAGCATGCTCCACTGGAGCACATGCACGCAGGGCCAAAAACATGCACAAATACATGATTTGTGTTCACTGTTGTTCGCTGTAGACGGAGTTGAACTTGAGTTGCGACAACAAGCATACACACACAACGCGCCCCACACCTGTGCTGCGTGAACCGGTCCTCCTTGCTGAAGATTCCCACCGTCCTGAGCCCGAGCTCGTTGCCCGCCCGCATGATCCTCACGGCGATCTCCCCTCTGTTCGCCGCCAAAACGGATTTGAAAGGCATCTCAAACCCGCTACCATCGCCGGCCGTTTGCTTGGCCTTCGTGCCCAGCAAGGCTCGGCTGCTCCTCGCGGTCGCCGCCGCCGCCGGCGCCACGGCAGGCCGGCGGAGCGTCAGCCTCCCTCCCGGGGAGAGGAGGGACATACCTGCTCGAAGTTGCATAGCTAGCTACGGCAGCACGCACGCGAGTTCCCTCTCGCCTGCTGGTGTTCCGTGTTCCGTGTGTGCACTTGAACAGAGAGAAAAAGAGATGGATGCCTCTGATGGTGACGCTCCTCGGCGGACCGTCAAAACGCGGCGTAATAGGATAGTGGGGGGTTCGCAGAAAGGAGTATGATCGTGAATGATCTGGGATTTCGTGTCCGCCAGTTTGTCTGTTTGTCGTTCATCTCTTGTGATGAGTTTTTGTTGTTGTTGTTGTTTCTCACATTAGCTCTAAAAAAAAAAAGATTGGGAGCCCGTGGTCTCAAAACCCGGCATACACGACCCCACGAAGAAACAGAAAAAAATAGGGTACAAAAACCACTCGGAAGAGAAACAAAATGATGGAAAGAAAGAGCAGCTACCGCACCAAACGAGAAAGAGCGTCGAGGAGACCGATCAAAATAAAATAAAAGGAGAACGGGGAACGCTTCCCACACCCGCCTACAACGCCGGAGGGTTCCGTGCCGGGTTCCCGCCGACCAGGCATCCCCCGCCCTGCACCACACCCCAGGGGGTGCAGCAAGACGGGGGGCGAAAAACAAACACATATGTATTCCCACAAAAAAATAAAAAAATCGAAGGACAACGTACACCAGTACCAGGTACTACAGCAGTGCAGTATGCACCAGCGCATTAGTGTAGGGTAGGCACCGCACCAAAGAGGCAGCAGAGGTGGCAGGCAGCCAGCAAAGGAAAAAACAAAAATAACAAGGAGCTCGAGGTATCGTCCAAGATCAGTCTTCCGGGGTCTTTGACAACATGAACACGCTGTCACTTGGGAAGCAGAGAGAGAGAGAGAGAGAGAGAGAGAGAGAGAGAGAGAGAAAGAGGGAGAGAGAGAGAGAGAGAGAGAGGGACGGAGCTGTGATACGCCCTCGAGCTTGGCGTTGTGCCAGGCACCTCCGAAGCGTTTCATATTTTTTCAGCGTGGACTAGGCCCTTTCTTTTTCAGCCGAGACGGCGCTGGGCTTCCCGGGGGACTGAAGTCGACCTTCGACCACTGGTCCGCTGATACAGCAGCAGCCTTATATGTGCAACTCGTGTCACCCTGTGCAAGGGCATCATATTCGCTTCCCAGCTCCTGCTGGCCATCTGAGACAAAAATTCAAATAGTTTTTCCCACCCCCGGTCCCCGCCCTGCCTGCGGGCAAAACAGAGGTTTCCGCGACAAGAAAGCAATCTTTCGAGCACCCTATGTCAAACAACATCCCTCACCCAGCACACCCCTTGCAACGGTTTCGAATGTTGAATTCAGCATGCCGGGAAGGCGATCAGGGAGAGAAAACAGGCAAGCTGTCAACCCAGTCCATTGCAAACTACAACTGTTGCTGTTGTGTACTATCTGTACTTGTAGGGCGAACGAATGCCTTTCGCGCTGGGCATGAGATGTGAAGAAAATCATATGCAATTCAATTCCCGACATCGAGACAACTTGGGGCCTGTTCAAATCATTGCTAACTAGACTTTCTCTCTCCCGCTGTATTCTCCGGGCACGGACAGGAGCGCCCAAGATTGGCGCTCATTAGGACGTGGAGATGATGATCGGCGCGGAGGACGTGAGGGAAGAGGGCGCAATGGACCCGAAATGGGGGGGAGGGGCGGCGGGCGGCCCCACACCAACAATCTCAATCTTCACGTTTTTGTGACCCGTGATCGCGAACCGCGCCATCAACACGACATGCGCGCGTTCGTGATGTCGGCGCGCTTGCACTCCACCACCCGAAAGCTTTCTGAGGTAATGTGCATACAGACTATCCNTCTCCCGCTGTATTCTCCGGGCACGGACAGGAGCGCCCAAGATTGGCGCTCATTAGGACGTGGAGATGATGATCGGCGCGGAGGACGTGAGGGAAGAGGGCGCAATGGACCCGAAATGGGGGGGAGGGGCGGCGGGCGGCCCCACACCAACAATCTCAATCTTCACGTTTTTGTGACCCGTGATCGCGAACCGCGCCATCAACACGACATGCGCGCGTTCGTGATGTCGGCGCGCTTGCACTCCACCACCCGAAAGCTTTCTGAGGTAATGTGCATACAGACTATCCCCTACACGTTGCAATGGTCTGTGGACACCGCTCAACCGACGCCCACCCGCCCGCTCCATACACCAAATCTTTCGTTCTTTATTGTGAATTGAGTAATCGAGCCAGCGCACCCACCAGACACGGCGCATGTCGGTTACGCATGTTTGATTGCCACCTTTGCTGGCCCTCGCTCCCCCTGCGCTCACAGAAGAGTAACCTTAAACTGAGGCTAGCTCAGCAACGTAAATCAATCCAGCTTTGCATCAAGCACTTGTTGAAAATGGAGTAGGGGAGTATGGAGGGGAGCTTGATGAGAAGGAATACCGGCTCTGTTCCGACACTGCTGCAGTTTGCTTCATCAAGAGAGCCAGTTCGGACGAAGAGTTTTCACCTCGTCCTCGGTACATGTGTATATATTGGTAGAACAGATAGAGGAAATTTGCAGCGCTCCGCCTCAGATGGGCGTGTGGCATATGCCCCTGGCCTACCTTGTGGTGACGTCGCGAACCCCGCTTGATTTTTATTGCACCACATGAGAAAGCGGGCGGGTCACACATGTTGCTTCACGAGAAGAGTTTTATGAAAACGGTATAATATTTTGTCTGGTACTGCTGCATACAGCAGGCATTTTTCTTTCGCAGCAAGAAGAACAGCTGGCCCCGTAAACAAAAACAGTTGGACATTATTCTCTTGTTTGGACAGAAGGACCAAAAGATATTCATAAACTTTAACCAACCAATTACGATACGAACAAGCCTGTCTGGTGAGAAGGACTCCGATCTTTCTTGTGTGTTGTTTTATGCACCATTGTCGCGGGCAGGCAATCTCGTGGCTTGGAGACACGTCACAGTTCGGTGTCAGCAGGGTGATGGACATCTGCCGCGCGAGCTCGACGACCCTGGACGTGGACGCTGGTCCTACTCCTAGCCGTGTATCCTTCCAGGTATTGGGCATCACAGGAGTTTCTTCCCTCCTGGTGTGTAGGAGGGAATACCAAACTTTTTCACGGTTGGCGAAAGTGTGTTGGAATGGCCGCAATACATTGATAAGACCATCTGTGTGTGTAGGGAGCACGGAGATACGTTACATACTATTTTCATAACCTCCATGGTTGACAAAGTGAACTTTGCTTCTTTGTGACCGTCATGGTGCTGCTGTTATTTAAGGCGTACCGAACGCTAACAACCACGTTGGAAGCACCACCCTGTCAGATTCGTCTGTAGCTACAGATATTTTCAACCCTCGTGAACGTTGCGACACATTAACCCACATCGTTTTCAACGTGTCCCTGCTNACTTTTTCACGGTTGGCGAAAGTGTGTTGGAATGGCCGCAATACATTGATAAGACCATCTGTGTGTGTAGGGAGCACGGAGATACGTTACATACTATTTTCATAACCTCCATGGTTGACAAAGTGAACTTTGCTTCTTTGTGACCGTCATGGTGCTGCTGTTATTTAAGGCGTACCGAACGCTAACAAACACGTTGGAAGCACCACCCTGTCAGATTCGTCTGTAGCTACAGATATTTTCAACCCTCGTGAACGTTGCGACACATTAACCCACATCGTTTTCAACGTGTCCCTGCTTTTTTTCCGGTGGAGCCAGCGCGTTTTTTTACCGTTGATCGATCTGGCGACATCGACGGAGTTCAAGAACAGCCCCCTGCGTAGCGAGGTATGTGTGCATCCATGCGTTCGCATCCAATTTCATTCTAGCTATGAATTGTCGACGCCGTTTGCGCCACGTTAGTGAACATACTGGGGTCACTCGATACTCCCGGGCAACGGTGTGACATGTTCGTTTGAGAGCTGCACCATCATCACAGATCTCCGCCAACGCGCTTCCAGATGTAGGGGGAGTAGCGTGGGCATGTGCAGTCAGCGCTGACTGAGTGGTCTAGTGGATAAGTCCATCAAACGAACATGACATCATCATGAAAAGGGGAGAATTTCTTTCCCATCACCACCGCTCCCGCAACATATTAGAGGGAAGGCTATTATCTAACTCGCCCTCCCCCCCGGTCCTACACTCTACCACCTGGTGGGGACGTACGTACATCTCTACGTGCCCTCCGAAGACGAATGTTCTGTTCTCTACGCTATACAAACTGGACCAGGCGGACGGGCTGTGGCCTAGGGTGTTCGATGAACTCTCGAAGGTGCGAAAATGGAACGAACCTATTCTAGAGTGACAATGGAATCGCGTGTCAAAACAATAGCTGTACGATCCTGACAGTCGTACCCTCGTTCGATGAAAGCAATGTATGGAAGTTGAATACGGGCCGTACCAGAATTTCGATTAA